TATTAATACAGAGCTAACGTGTCTCCTCAGGAGAGCTGAAATATCTGCAGCCTGGTGGTATTTTAAAATGGACAGCAGAGGCAGAGCTACAGACACTTGTAATGTGTGCAAACTGGGCATTCAACATGCTGGACACAGCTCCATGATTCGCTGCATCAAAACAAACTACCGTCGCTGTTGGCATTTCCCTTCAGGCATCAACAAGGCAAATCACCGGTCTCCATTAATCCCCAGTTTACCTCTAATAGTCACAGTTCACAGTGAAGTCAGACAAAAACACAAAGCCAGCCCACAGAGAAAGTTATGCTAATAAACTAAGAGAAATTTCCAACAGGCTGAAAAACATCTGGGTTTAGTTCTCATGCATCAAGGAGCTGTGCGCTGGAGCTACAGGTGTTACGCAGAGAAGTTACCCTGCCTGCCGAAGACTCCGCCTGCCTGCTCCGTCACGTGAACACGGCTCACAGCTGCATATTGAAGGAGTAAACAACTTAAAATAAGAGCAACGCTGCTACTTTTAAGTATATTCACAATATAAACTTTATTTTTATCGGTGTACTTCCTAAAAAATACAAGTGGAAGTTAAAGGACAATTTAGATGTGTTTTCTTCTTATTTTAATGCTTTCCTGAGTTCCCCCACCCCCACCCCCACCCCCTTTTTCTTATTTTAATGCTTTGCTAAAAATTATTTCTTTTTTTCTTCTTATTTTGATGCTTTTCTGAAACGTATCGGATCGGGACTCGGAATCGGCAAATGTTTAAACTCAAACGATTCGGAATCGGATCGGGAGCAAAAAATCGTGATCAGAACACCCCTAGTTGTTGACATTCTTTTCTGCTTCACAGTTGCAGATTCAAACATCTGACATGTGGCCTGTGCATGGACAGTGACAGCAATCAGGTTGCCTCTGAGCACCAGGTTGTACAGCGTGTGAAACTTTGTGAGCTGTGAATTATTGAACCCAACAGTGTAGTCATACAGTTTAAGAAGCTGAATGCAAGAATGTTGTGGAGTGTATGCCAGCATTAGTCTCAAAGGCTGAACAGACATTAGTGCAGGTAGAATAACCACTACCCCATTAGACAAGAAATTATTTCATAGAAAAATAATTTAAAATGCTTGGAAATAGGTAAGCAGAAGCAAATTACCAACCTTACAATATTGTTTACAGTAACAAGCACTGCATGTTCTGAAGAATAGAAAGATCAGGGCAGCGCATTCATGTTTACAATTTTTTCCATCCATGAATAACTCATGAAGATAATCCAACTGCAGAATGTACGCAGTAATCTAAACCCACCAATAACAGATATGCTAAAAGTTTCAATCTCAACTAGGCCAGACAGAGATCATTTCCTCTCGGTCTTAAAGTTCTGTTGGTCATCAACCCCTCTACGTCTTCAGAATCCTCTACAGACAGTTGAGAGGCAGATCAGGTTCCACTGTTTCCAGGAGTCCATGATATGCCCAGCTGGCTCTGTCCCAGAGGGGCAACCGGGAGCCCCTTCTCCCATTCTCTAACCGCGACAACAACGTCACAGCACACACACGAAACAGCAACAGCAAGTGACTCCATGGCCACAGGTGAGAGTGAGAAGTTTGTTCCTGAGAAAGGAAATTAATCACTCGTTGTTTGGAACTGGTTTGGGTTTGCTGCGACGGACGTGGAGCGTGGCACTTTTATTTCAAGAGGGTGTTCACTTATTCATTATTCATCTCAGAAATAAGGGTTACATTTGTCATGCTTGTGATTAAATAAAAATCTAAATTGGCTTTAAGGTGCCTTTCATTTGTACTTACTGCCATTCTTAATAATTGAGGGGGAGAGAGAATTGAAAAAAAAATCGTAATAAAATCGGGCAAGCGTGTATTTGAGTCGGTTTTAAAAGCACATTAAAACAGGAGCACTGAATAAAACATCAGAAATGTGGCTAATTAAATATCAAAATAACAGAACAAGAAATGCAACAGTTGACTAAAAAGAACCAGAATGTATTTGAAGATGTAGGAGTGACAGTAAGCTAAGCTGTTTAGTGAAAAAAAACACTGGTATATGATAGGGATGCACCGATCAGGTTTTTGTTGCCGATCACCAATACCGATATCAAAGAATGCTGATCACCGATACCGATAACGTGGATTGGCCAGAAATTTTCTAGAACATTATAATGAGTGCTACAAACTACATAATCTGGGAATAAAGGAAATGTAACCTAATCTAAAATGGTCTGTGTTAGGGTTGTCACGGTGTGAAAATTTAACCTCACGGTTATTGTGACCAAAATTACCACGGTTTTCGGTATTATCGCGGTATTTTTTTTTAACGTGCTACATTTTCACACAATTAGATAAACCCTGTATGTCAGGAAATATTGTCCTCAGTTTGTGTCTAAATTTTGCCTAAAATGTGTTATTTTGTAATTATGTTGTTTATTTGTTTACATTTTTTCCCTTTAGTCTTTAAAATACCAATATTTGCCCATAACTTCTTATTTTATGTCTGTTTGATGTCATCATTTTAAAAATATTAGACCAGATGATACTCAAGTAGCCTTCTAATCAGATACTTTTTACCCTTACTTGAGTAATAAACCCTATAACAGGAAAATATTGTCCTCGGTTTGTGTCCTTCCAGTGAGCTTTGCAGATGTGGGAAAATGTCATCAGGCAGTAATCTTTGTTAAATTCATAATTATTCTCGGAGAGAGACCAACTCTTATCTGCCCCTGGGAGCCCCGTAATGCATAGCGTCATTTCAACATGGGGGGTGTCCGTGACACGGTTTATATGCAGGTAGCGGCGCTGCGGCTGCTTTCTATAGCGACTCGTTGCATTCTCCCTCAACCCAAATCCTCGGATCACACATTTTAGCCAAAACGCTAACGTTAGCTTGCCTTGCGTTGACTGTAGAGTTGTGGGTGATGGTCACGCAGATGTGTCATGAGATTTGAAGCGTTTCTGCCTTTCACAGACACTTTTTCCGCACGTGCTGCAAACAGGATAGCCGTCTTCTATAAACTCCCTCGGCATTCTTCAAATATCCAAAAGATGCCCGTACTTCCGACTTTGTCTTCTTTGAGGGATAAAAAATTTCCTCCTGAGCGCTGCCGTCTCCTCCTTTGGCCATTATTTCAGCTTTAGCTTCAAGAAAGTTTTGGTTGTAAACAGCAAAGCGAGCATGTGCCGCCGGCAACTTCAGCAGATGATACGGTGGCTGGTAAGGGTCACCGCGCCTACACCGCAGCCACGGTAATCCACCAAGATAATATCGTTTTTTAAAAAAACAAGACGGTTATTATTATCTTCAACTCTTTTTTTTTTTGCCGGGGTTTACCGCTACACTGGTTACCGTGACAACCCTACCTGATCGGTCTGCTTTGATCTATTTTGAAAACTCCGATCAAAACCGATAGGGGCGCTATCGGCCGATTACGATCAAATGCCGATCCATCGGTGCATCCCTAGTATATGACAACAACCCAGCCAGTGTAAAAATGAAAGCATCTGGAGACAAAGATTACACTGGCAACTTCATAATACACAGACAACTTCAGCTAAAATGGTCATGAACCACAGATAAAGACTCAGGCCATGTTCACACCTGGCACTTACGTCCCTCTGGAGTGATCTGATCATGTTCAGATTGGAACTAAATACAGGTGTGCATGATCTCATTATGCAGATCATTTAATCCAGAAATGGTCAGTAGTCTGAATGCAAAACATCATGAGCCATGCTGATGGGCTACCCACTGGCGTGATGTGATTCCACATAAGCAGTGGAAATATTATTTAGATGTATCTCAGCTTAGTTTATGGCAGGTACAGATAATAAATAGAGGGATGGATGGAGGGATCGATCATCGATCTAGATTTTTAAAATGTGCATTAACACGGCACTCTAATGAAAATTGGGATGAATACATGACAAAAACATTTTAAAAGCACAAGAAAAACAATACAATGTACTGAAATAGAAAAGGTAAAATGTAGATAGTAAGAGGTGCACGAACACAAAGATAATTAAATACAAGTATGAAAGGTGCATAATGGTGCACTGTTTGTGTGTGTGTGTGTGTGTGTGTGTGTGTGTGTGTGTGTGTGTGTGTGTGTGTGTGTGTGTGTGTGTGTGTGTGTGTGTGTGTGTGTGTGTGTTCAATCACTCAGTGTATTACCAGGACGATGCATGGTGAATTTCTTTAATACATGGCGCTTTTGTTATTTGTTTTAGTGCATGCATAATGTAATCAATTAATACCATACAGGTGCACATGACCTAATAACAGCATACCTCTTAGCTGAATAAATCCGTACGCTCCTGGAAGCGGTCTCGGACAGAGGAAACGAGCAAAATCTCTCTCTCTCTCTCTCTCTCTCTCTCTCTCTCTCTCTCTCTCTCTCTCTCTCTCTCTCTCTCTCTCTCTCTCTCTCTCTCTCTCTCTCTCTCTATCTATCTATATATATATATATATATATATATATATATATAATTCATTTATTTATTTTGCTCCATTTTAACAATTAACATACATAAACACGCGATACAGAAGATAGCAGCAGAAAAGCACGTTTGTTTCCGGTGCACAGCGACGGGATGCTAGCTAACAAGTCTTCTTATACGTGTGGAGCTCCTCGTGTTAAGGGTCTATGGTTAGGTTGATTTAAATGTGGCATTTAGTATTTTCTCTTGAAATAATAAGATCTCATACACTCCATATAGCCTACACTGACGGCTAGCTTTCCATTCATCTTGGTGTTTGCAGGGTGTTAGCTAAACCTGTTCACTCACTAAACCTACAAAACGCTGTACGAATGTGTTTACTATCATATACCACACAAGAAGAAATTACGTTTTATTTAAAAAAAACTTGTAAAAATCGGGGAAATTCTCTCTAAGATGCCAACATTCGCTAACTTAACCTGCAGATTCAAATAGCGCTTTAACGCACGCGACGCGATTTTCCGCTTCTTGAGCACACTCTGACGGAGGAGATCTCACCTCTTTCTTCTTCTGTCCTCCTCCGAACGGCAGACACAGCATTAGAAACAATAAAACACAGAGAAAATGCAGGTTCAAAAGGGATTTTCTCCTAACAGACGCCATGACGGAAGGATGCCGTCAACGAGACACGTCTCCGCAAAGGAATTGGATTCTGAATTGACCAATCAGCATGCAGGGATTTGAACGCGGAAGTTTATGGGGTTTGTAGTTTTTTTGTCTTGACAGGATTCCATTCGCTAATGCAGGGAATATCTATCTATCTATCTATCTATCTATCTATCTATCTATCTATCTATCTATCTATCTATCTATCTATCTATCTATCTATCCATCCATCCATCCATCTATCTCTGACAGAACTGGACTGAAACTGAAAGGAAAAGCACCAAGATTTGAATAAAAATAACTCCTCTAATTTATTTATAAAGTAAATCTAAGTTTTGAATCTGAAAACAAAGCAAGACTAAATTAAAATATTAAAACAAGTCTTGGCTTTAAGACCTTTCAACAATTTTGTTAGATATTTGAAAATATACCGCCATGAATAATACATCTGACTAGACGATTGATAAAAAGGTTCTCCTTGATTAAGTTACCTGGAAGAGCCCTGCCAGTCGTCCAAACCATGAAAGCACATAAAGTCACGATCAAGAACTGCAGAGTTGTTCTCTGCTGTCTCTCTCACACATTAAGGGAGGGGTGAGGTTGTTGCAGATGCTTGGCAGAGTTAATTGAGGGAGGAAATGATTTATGTGAAATCAGTGGTGGTGACATGTCACTCAGTCTCTTTATGAAATCAATCCTGCACTTTGTGACTAATGTAATGCAGTGCATTAGTCTCACAATAAATATGCTCATAGAGATGTGAAACTTCAGCTTCAAAAGGGTATGCACAGCTTTCTTTGAATATGCAAGATAAAAAATGCATTTGCAAGTGCTATATTTTGAAGTTAGACCTTGCAACTGAAGACCATCCATCCATTACCATGGCATATCCAAGGTCAGGTCAAGTAAGTCCTTCAATCGCCTTACATAGTCCCTCTAGTGCAGGGGTGTCAAACATGCGGCCCGCGGGCCGGATCAGGCACAGTTTAAATCCGGCCTGCGAGATGTTTGTGTAAACCGCATTTTCAGACTACAATGTAAAGTCTGAAAATAAGCTTTCATTTTTCAATTAAACTGCTGGTGAAAGCTAAACGATGTCAGGTATCAGGAGTCAAAGACATGCATGAAACTGATATAGCCATGTGATCTGCGAATCAGTTATTTGAATTACTGAGGAATAGTCTGGGTTTATTTGTTTTGTATTTCACATTTTCAAATATACTTCAGGTGTTTTATAATTAATGGTGATGTCATGCTTAAACTATTTTGGATACACTGTCCTCAGGCTCCAGCTTTGTTTTATGTTGATCGTATTCAAACAAAGAAAACAATCTGGAGCAGTTTTTAATTTATGCATACTTTAATTTTACTGGTCTGGCCCACTTGGGACTAGATTTTCCTCAATGTGGCCCCAGAGCAAAACTGAGTTTGACACCCCTGCTCTAGTGACTTCTGAGTCTCATCCTACTGAGACATGCAAGGAAAACCTTCAGATGGAGCTGATCAGTAGGTATTCCAATCAAATAGTGGCAGAAATGTAAGCGCTTGCTTCGTAATCAAAATCAAAATAACAGATCTCAAGTTAAAACCCACCTAAAACAAATCCCTCATAAAAACCCTAGGGACTGCAGAGCAAAAAGTATGGTAACAAAACAATAAAATCAATGTGCCCTTGAGCAAGATGCTTCACCCTCCTTGCCTGCTGGTGGTGGTGGTCCTAGGGACTGGTGGTGCCTGTCTCTCTCAGTGTGTCCCAGGTTAGCTGGGCTACATTTTAGCTCCTCACCAGAAGCGCTGCGTGCCAACAGGCAAGGCAGGAAATTGCTTGGGGCCCCCAGGCCAAAGGGGGGCTCCAGAAGGCCAAAAAATGTTTACAGTCAAAACCGCAACAATAGAGAGACAATCAAAAGCTGTAATTTCACACCACTGCTGGCATTCTCATACTCCCTTAGGGGACCCCATCCTTCCCCACTAGGCTGATTTATACTTCTCCATCAGCTCGACTGTGGGGTCATGCACATGCATTGACGGAGATCTTTTCTCTGGTCCAAGTCAGTCCATTTACTATTGAGCTCCTATATATCAAAAGCTTTTTAACATGGACTAATTAGTGCTTCATTCTTCTCCACTTCTTCAGGCGGTTGCCACCTCTAAACCCACGTTTCCCATCATTTCCGTCCACAAATAAAACACTTGCTGTGTATCTTTATACTCCTTCAGTCACAGGTGAATAAACATTTATATATTTGGACTTTTTCTGCGAGACATTCTTCAGTCTGTTGCATGTTTGCCACTAAATATCTTTTCTTTTTTTTTTTGTGGACGGTGCTTAGTTAAAGGAAGCAGCATCCTAGCATCCTGACCAATCACAGGCTTGCAGTCTCCATCACTTCACTGGATAGTTAAAAAGTTGGGCGTGTCTCTGTCACCCTCTGCGAGCCTGTCGCAGAGCCCTTGTGCTGATGCATCATGGCATCACACATCTCCATAACCACGTAGACAGGGAAGTATGAATCTGGCTTTAGACATAGACCATACTCGTCCCCCCCCCCCCCCCCCCCCAACACACACACACACATCCATGCTCAACCGGAGATTCTCATTTGGAAAACTATTGAAAACAAGCACACAATAAACATAAAATAAAGTAAAATTTGAAGGAGACACAAATCTGTCTCGCTAAACTTTTTCAAATCCTTTGCTTTCTCCTTCTGTTATTCTCTCTCTCTTCTGTACGCCTCCCCACCCCCTTTACGCTACACACACACCAGCCATACTGATGAAATGAAACCTATGTTGGAATAATAAAGGCAATGCACCGTGAAACAATCAGTACATGCTTGAGTCTTGTTAAACCACAGCTCATTCACTCTGCAGCAGCTCAATCATGAAAACATTCTCAGCCTTCCTGGGCTTGGGTGTAAAATCATTCCTGTGGACTTGCATGATTATGAAAGCTTTTCTAATTATACAGGGTGCACTGCTGACTGTGCAGGGAAGACTTGTTTCAGACCTCTTCAAATCTGCTGTCAGGAATGAGTAAATAGCTTTAGGTAAAAGCAGATTTTTTTGAATGATTTGGTTTTTGAGTCAGAAATTATAGTAAAAAATCAACATCTGAGCTGTGTCAAGCATATATCAATTAAACAGTCTATCTTTGAAGAGATAACATTCTGGTTAATGTGTGCTGTAGGCAAAGAGATGTGGAATCATTACTGATGCGTTAACTGCTATAAATTATTGACCAAAATCAAGTGTTAAAGGGTATTTTGCCCTGGAGCATTCTCGTACTGACAAAAGAAGTCAATCTGCCCCTCTACAGGTGCTGGTCATAACATTTGAATATCATGACAAAGTTAATTTATTTCAGTAATTCCATTCAAAAAGTTATCTTGCATATTAGATGCCTTCATATTTATTTCTTTAATTTTGATGATTATAACTGAAAACTAATGAAAATCCCAAATTCATTATCTCAGAAAATTACAATATCAATTAAGACCAATGCAAAAGAAAAGTAATTTTAGAAATGTTGGCCAACTGAAACGGATGAGCTTGTACTGCCCTCAATATTTAGTTGGGGTTGCTTTGGCCTGGATTACTGCAGCAATGCGGCATGACATGGAGTCAGTCTGTGGCACTGCTCAGGTGTTATGACAGCCCAAGTTGGTCTGATAGTGGCCTTCAGCTCTTCTGAAATGTTGGGTTTGGCATATTCCATCTTCCTCTTCACAACACCACATAGATTTTCAATGGGCTATGGGGTCAGAAGAGTCTGCTGACCAATCAAGAACAGAGATACCATGGTCCCTAAACGAAGTCCTGGTAGCTTTGGCTATGTGTGCAGGGGCCAAGTCAACCATCACTGGCTGTGGAAACTTTACACTGGACCTCAAGCAACATGGATTCTGTCTTTCCTCTCTTCCCCCAGACTCTGGGGCCTTGATCTCCAAAAGAAATGCAAAATTTACTTTATCAGATATTATAACTTTTGAGCACTGAGCAGCAGTCTAGTCCTTTTTGTCTTCAGCCCAGGTGAGACGTTTCTGACGCGGTCTCTTGTTCAAGAGTGGAATGCGACAGCTGAAACCTGTCCTACATACGTTTGTGTGTGGTGGTTCTTGAAGCACTGACTCTAGCTGCAGTCCACTTTTTGTGAATCCCCCCACCCCACATTTTTGAATGGGGTTTGTTTCACTGTCCTCTCCAGGGTGCAGTGATCCCTATTGCTTGTACACTTTTTTCTACCGCATCTTGCTTTTCCCTTGGCCTTTCTTTAATGTGCTTGGACATGGAGCTCTATGAACAGCCAGCCTCTTTAGCAATGACCTTTTGTGTCTTGCCCTCCTTGTGAAAGGTGTCAATGGTCGTCTTTTGGAAAACTGTCAAGTCAACAGTCTTCCCCATGATTGTGCAGCCTATGGAACTAGACTGAGAGAGCGTTTTAAGGGTTTTGGAGGTGTTTTGAGGTAATTAGCCGAATAGTGTGTGCCACCGGGGGTCATCAATATTGAACCTTTTCACAATTACCTAATATTCTGAGACATTGAAATTGGGATTTTCATCGGTTGTCAGTTAAAATTATTTAAATTTAAAGAAATAAATATTTTAAATATATCAGTTTGCATGTAATGAATGAAATACATGTTTCAATTTTTGAACGGAATTACTTAAATAAACCAACTTTGTCATGATATTCTTATTTTATTACCAGCACCTGTATATAGCTTATCCATTTTAATAATGAAAATTTAAAAGAAAACAGACTTTTTGATATTTTAATAATTAAGATTGAATACAGTTATTAGATCTGAATGTGTGGAAATCATCATATTTTGTTTTTATAAAGCACTTTAAAACGTGTTTCACATGAGGATGTTCAGTGAATCCACCTTTTCCATTTGGAGGATGACCGCTGAGTCTGAGCAACCTTAAAGTTCAATGCAGAGCGGAAGCAGCAGCCAGGTGTTGTTAATTAAATGCCTTTGATTAACTGATCAGCAGTGATGAGTGCGAGCACCTCCTTACAAGCAGAAGAATTGGCAGTTCG